TTCTGGAACCAGACCCGGTGCGCCGAAAGCCGTGCCACCGCCGCCGTGGATGCAGCTTGGCTATTAAAAGATGGCTGTTCGCCAAGAAAAGGGCCCGCCAGCACGGTTCCCGCGGAGTCCTTTACTGGACGGCAGGTGGAGGGGTGCGACCCTGGCTATTGAGGGGGTGCTCGGGGCCAGCACCCTGGGGGCGGGGGTGCACCCGAAGAGGCGGCCGTTGTGTCACGTGCTCGTCGGGGGTCCTGCAGCTCCGGCTTCTTCATGGCAGAGTCAGGAGTTTTCCTGCAAAAGAAGCGTCAGCTCAGAGAAGCCCACCCCGGGGAAATGAAGAGGAAAACCTCCGCCCGGTCGCTGCGCCCGTCGCCCCGCCGGAGGGGCCGTGGGGGTTCCCGGAGGAGCCGCGGGGGCGGGGGGCGGGGGGAGAGCGGGCGTGGGCGACCCTGCGCCTTCGGGGCAGGAGGGGGCGTCACAGCCTAAATTACAATCCAGGGACTGGGCTCCGCACGCTCGAAGCGCCCTTGGGGCTTTGGAAGCGGGTGTGAGTCTTAGGAAAAGGCTAGTTCCCAGGTGCTTGGTAGTTTTTGTTTCTGTTTTGAGTGATGCACTATTTCCCATTTATTTTCCAACTAGAGGCCGGTGCATAAATTCGTGCACCCGTGGGGTCCCTTGGCCCAGCCTGTGGGGATCCGGCGAATCCGGCTCTCCGACATCCCCAGGGGGTCCCGGATTGCGAGAGGGTGGTTCTCGGGCACCCCGGAATCGGGCTCCCTGCTGTCTATTCCTGGTGAGTCACCCTGAGAACCCCCGCTGCCCAGTGACAGCAGCTCAGCAGCTCCTGCTGGAGCATCTGCCCCCAGGGGGTCAGTGTGTGTCATAGCTCCTGGCCAGTTGGATTGGGTGTTACTGCTGTAAAGAAGTTATTGAGCCCGGCCCGCGTGGCTCAGGGGCCGAGCATCCACCTATTCGACTCCCGGTCAGGGCAGGTGAGCGGTTGCGGGCTCGATCCCCAGCGTGGGGCGTGCAGCAGGCAGCCGATCCGTGATTCTCCCTCATCATTGATGTTTCTCCCTCTCCCTCCTCTCTCTGAAATCAGTAAAAAAAAATAAAAAAATACATATTTTAAAAATTAAATAAAACAGCATTGTTGGTGTGCAAGAGTGTCCACACTTCTCAGAGATGTACTCTGAAGTGTGTAGGAGTGAAATAACGTGTGTCTGAGGTTTGGGTTAATAAAATTCCGCAAAGAAAAGGGAGATGAGGAAGGAACTGTGCAAACACTCGCACTTTGTAGCGTCCACATGCAGGTGTCTGAGTTTATACGTTACTGGCTTACTACCTATGCTTGAGAGTTTCCATAACAAAATATTTAAAATTCCCTACTACGGTGAGCCCTTAACTCTATTTGGTTTACTCCTAAAAATTAAAAATAAAAGCGACTTTACTTACGCAAGGTCCGTCATGCAGTTTAGTTACGTTAACCTTCTTATATCTGAAAGAAATTATATTTTGAAATGATTACTTTTGCTCTATGATATAAGTTATGACTTTTACTTGATAATCTTTAGCTAAGTTTGAGAAGAAAACATTCTGCTAATAGTGAATTCTTATTTTAATAAGTATTTTAAAATATCTATTACATAGATCTTTATTTGTCAAAGAGAGTGAACATATAAAATATACTCAGCCTTAAGTCAAATATAGAAAATTCAAAGTAATCTTGAATATTTAATAAAAGCATTAGAGAGAATGAACATTAAAGTATGCATTTGATGGAAGTTAAGCCGTTACTAGCGACCTTAAAGAAATAATATCGATAAGGGCATACTATGAACAATTGCACGTCAATAAATTAGGTGCCCTAGATGTAATAGACAAATTCCTAGACACACACAAGTTACCTAATCGGACTCAAGAGGAAACAGAAAATCAACCGACCTATGTCA